GATAATCTAGATGATGACGAGTCGTGTCTCTTGGCCTTTTGTACTTAACACAAAAAATGCTCTTTTTTTGGCGACAACTTTTCACATTGCATTGCCACAATCTTCCCTTTATGTAAAGGGAAGATTATGGCGCTTTTATTTCGTATCCATTTACGCATACAGCGAGGTATACCTTTTATTTTTCCTGAAAAAACGAAATTTCTTAGAGCCATAAAAAGGAGCACCACACAACATTAATGAGATACTCTAATAGATTCACCCCACAAAACAAATCACGCACCTTTACCTGAATTTATGAAGGGAGGGGAATGAATTTATTGCAGGAAAAAAATTGGGGGAGAGGGAGGCCCTGAAGGGAAAAAAGAGATCGATATCACACTCCACTATCCCCAAACACTATCGACATTTTTTCCCTTTTTCTCTAGGCGCAATAACTCCCATACAAGGTTTTTACTCTAGGACAAGGCCCTTTGGTATGCAGTGCATGCTAAGAATGAAATTCATCATGGAGTTTTTTTTTTTTTTCCTTCTTTGAAATCTACGATGCTGTTTCAATAAACTAAAGCTGAGGTTATGATGAAAAATGAAGTCGTCTCTGTGACAAGGAAGGAAAGAAGCTAGTAGTAATAAAAAAGGTGTTTCCCCTGTGAATAAAATAAAAAATAAAAAAAATGAAACATATTTTTAAAAAAATTTAAGAATGAAATGGTTATTTTAGACGGCAAAGAAAGTTAAAATAGTCACATTATTTTGAACTCAAACAATGACTGATAAAAAAAAAATAGTGCGTGGAGTCCCTCCGCGCGGAAGAAGTGAAACTTCGTAATGTGGAAATGAAAATAGGAAGGGCTAGAAATTGATTTTTAGTGTAATCATATTGTTTCTTTAAGACAAACTTTATTAACAATGCTTACAATTCACAATTGATCGCATCTTTTAATTATCATTTTCGAGTGGAGAAATATCCAAATCTATAACATTTACAATGGGATTATGATAACTAAAGTAAGATACGAAATGTTTGAGTTCTATTTTTTCAATATTTCTTGCAAAAACTGCATCAATGGTAGTTACCCCTTTGGTTGTTGGATCATTCCTACCATTTATCATTTCCAATCCAAATTTGTCTTTAAGGAAGGTTAATAATGTTTCAGCTTCAGGTAACGAGAAATTCACATTAAAATCTCCTGCAAGGATCACAGGCCGCTCACAATAATCAATTTCTTCACCAGTAACGTCTGCCAGAGCTTGTGAACCTGCAGTGGATAGTGGCAATAAAGATTTTGCAATAAATAATTTAATATCCCTCATGGCTGCATTTGGTGAAATATAAATGGCAATTAGAAAAGAGAAAACCTAACAATCAATTGATATTCACAAGAGACGTACCTTGACATAACCTTAAATCCGTCGCATTGTCCGTGGGATTGTTTTCACTCATTTTTTACAATTGTTATCCACTAAGTTTGAAAATAAAAAATACTACCCTATTAAATTATATGTGTATCAAATCAAACTAAAATATTTATAGAAAAACAATACTTTTATGACTTTTATTATTTTTATGCTAGTGAGAACCAAAACAATATGGAAATGAATGAGGGAAAACTGGATCCTACCACGTGATTTCCCGGCCAATAAAAATGTAGCGTTAAACGTTTAACGCAACCTTGTTGGAAGTCGCATAAGAAGTATAACTTCAAAAAAAAATTTTAAATAGAAAGCTTCATAACGCCCAGAATCCGTAATAAATTGATATGTTCGCACGTAATTTGAATCATAATGTCAGATAAAAACTTTTTAAGTTTTATGACGCTACAAGTTTCCAAAATCATGACATACTGAAATATTCATACATAATTTAAATCTAATCAAGGATTGATAAAAATGTAGAGCTTTGTCACGCTATATGGCCCTGCAAATATTAAAAATAAAAAAAACACGATTTTGAGACAAATACCATGAATGCTAAAATAAAATTTAAAAAACTGATAAAACAAAATTTATTTTAAAAAAATGTTTGCAACAAGTACGTATTATAAAAAAGTTTCCAAGTATATAAAAAATCTCAATTTGAATTATTCGCAGCTTACATTGATTTTTCTATTTCACGGCAGTATACGGTTCTAAAATTAATGTTAAAATTTTAAATATTAAGCCTAGTAATAAATAAATGCCATGCGTCCAATACAATTGACTAGCCATTTTACAGAAGGCCAGCATTTAATATAGCTGGTACCCATCGAACTACATTGGCTGCCATTAAGGATCGAACCTCAGTCTTTCGCAATAACAGCTGTGTCTTTAACCGCTGAGCCATCGCTGCTCTTTTAACGGTTTTTAACCAGTGATGTTGTATCACCCCATCTAAATAGTATTCCGTTATTATTACGTTTTTGATAATAATTCAAAATACGAAGCTTAAAACTAAAAGCGTTGTTACTTTTTCATTTCATAAAAAAAGTAATTATATGATATCTTATTAAGCAATGATAAAGATTTTTGCAGTAAATAAGCTATATTGACTTTGTTTTATTACTATATTGTTTTACCGCAAATAAGCTATACTGACTTTGTTTTATTACTATATTGTTTTGCAGCAAATATAGACTTTGATTATAAATTTCATGTAAAACTGTGCTCAGACAAAAGTATGTAATTAAAATAACAAATACAAAATGACTATTTAAAATTCCAAAACAAAAAATATTTATTAAAATTTAACTTTTTAAATAATTGCTAAAGGATCATTTCGGTTAATTTCGTTTGGTTTGGTATAAAGGTTGTGCATAAAGTTGTAATGGTAATCGAGCAAAATGATTAAGTTAAAATTTTATCCCATTAAAATCGGAAATTAAATTTGTTCCGTCTGCCCTAAATTTGCATAAATGTTAACACTAAAGTGTAGAAATCAGTTAATCTACAGATCACCTAGTTAACGTGCAGATTAGATTAATTAGGGTAAACTGTTAAGGTGCCAATCATTGTTTCAGTTCTTCAACTACCTAGATAATTTGCATATTACCTACTAAGCAGTCGTTAAAGTGAACAAAAATATTTTTGCTGGAACAGCAACGTTTTTGTACGCTTAAATTAACAAATGTAATTTATTTATTTTTCACTCTAAGAATCAAGTTACAACAATCAACACAATAGTTGATAGAATCAATCATAAATTCCTTTATAAACTAATATCATAAATCAAACGGTTTAAAATATTATTACAATTGAGGAAATTAACGTAGTGTCATTTAAATTATTTTTCAATACTTAGAGAATCAATACAATTAATAAATGAAAGAACGATTTGAGCTCAAACGATACTGAAGGTATTAAAGTATAAATTACATGTGGGAAAAATGCCGAAAACACTGGATTCCGCACCATAACAGAACAAATCAATGAATGTGCACATTAATGGCTTTTAAACTTAAGCCTAATTTTTTTAAATCCTTTAATTGACATATTTTTAATTTTGATGCTTATCAAGAAAAAAATATGATCTAACATTTTAAGCGATGCCAGCAGAGCCAGATTATACCTTTCGTAGGCCCTAGGCATAGCCGTTTTTGGGCCATCCCCTCCTTCCCCCACTCCTCCCCTCTTTTCAAAATATATGCTAAAATTTTCTTGCATACTTTTTTTTTACATTTTTATTAATATGGATTTTAATTTACAAATTTGTTTATCGAACTTTATCTGCAATACCGACATACTGCCGATATTGCAGTTGNTATATGTTTATTCAGAGAAAGTACGTTTTTGTGTCTGATTTCGTAACTTAATTAATAGTTAGCACTAATTAATTAGCATATTTGAGGTCACCCCCAGGAACCATTAAGATTGACACTTAGTTCGTGAAAATCGGATCATTAGAACGAAAGTTATTCAGGGTGATATCTTTTTTTTTTTTGCGGACTGTACATTACCTGGGGAAAATGCCGAAAACACTGGATTCCGCACCATAACAGAACAAATCAATGAATGTGGACATTAATGGCTTTTAAACTTTAGCCGATTTTTTTTAAATCCTTTAATTTAATTGTTTTTAATTTTGATGCTTATCAAGAAACAAATATGATCTAACATTTAAAGCGATGCCAGAGAAGAAACACCACAGAGAAATAATATTTTCTTTTTAAATGGTAAGGAATGAAAACGCTGTGTTCATTAGAAAATCATAGCTGCTAATATACATAGGGAAAAATCCAGTAGATTTTACGAAATAGAAATTCCATGACAACTGTTGCATAATATTTTACATGTAGGGAATTTTAGAGATTTTTGTTGTCATCAAAATACAAAACTTTATTACACTAATAACTATTAACGGTCTACAATATTTTCAATTTAAGATCGACATTAAATGAACTTTTTTTCTATTATTATTATGTCCAATCATAATTTTGACAGGTGATTTATTATTGATGGTTCACACTAGAAAGACTGAAACTTAGTGTATATACCTATATTGCCCAAAAGCAGTCAAAATGACAGTATTGTGAAAGAATAACCAATGTGCAAAGAAATTTGTTTAATTAATTTTCAATATTTTTAACGTTAGTCAGATAGTTAACTGATATTAATAATAGCTAGTACAATCTAGTGTTAAAAGATTTCTTAATTAATTGAAAAAAAGGAGTTCTGAATAAAAATAAACTGAAAATTTCAGAACAAAAGAAAAGCTTTAAAATGATTATTATAAATGAGGCTTGGTCATTATGCACTAGTAATACTTATTTAAATATTCAAGCAACCAATAAATTGTGTAAAAATTCTATTTCAATGGGGATTTTTTTAAGGAAACTTACGCAATTTAAGGGAATATATACAAAACCAGGTACAGGTACAAAAATCAGAAAAATTTTTATTAAATCAGTAGACCAGGAGAAACTGGCAAAATCCAGTTGTCTACTGGTAAATCCAGTAGTGTTGGCAGCTATGGAATACAATACCAACTTTTGTGAGAGACAGTAAAGAAGCAAATATTAAATACTCACTTGAATCAGTTCATTCCGAATAAGATTGGTGATGCAACAACAGTCTTCATACTCGGACACCTCATCTTCATCGTATTCCTGGTAATCGTAAAGGTCAGGAGGTCTGGCGATGACCTGTTGCCCATTAGGCACAGGATAAGATGACCTCATCACTTTTTATTACACACTTTCTTAATCCAGACTGGCTAGTTCAATGCACACCAGGATATTGATAAACCGTAATAATAATTTTTGAGTTTCACTGAACAAACTGCGACCAAGAAATCCATTTTCAAGTTTGTCTGCTCGAAGACTCAAACTGGATCGTTCGTAAAGTAAAAAATAGTTCTTCTACGAAAGGGAGCAAACTAATCACAGCTGAATGGAGCACATGATAGGTCTGGTACGCATCATTCGCGCAAATATATTTTCCCAAAGGTGACTGAAAGAAAAATCAACAAATCCGTTGGCAGGATATTTATACTAAATATATGGCTGTCTCGTAAAAAAAGATTTCCCAACGAAAAATAAAGTTAAAATGAACGAACTCACATCGCTAAAAAAGAAAAAAAAATGTTAATCGCAGGAGCAAGTTGTAAGTTTTTTTTTAATATAAAATATTTGAAAGCAATAAATCAACTGTGCAAATCAGTAGAATATCAACCCTTTCACGCAGATAGGATACCGGTATCCCTTTAATACTTTTTTTTCCGAAGCTCTAATTACAAGCAAAAATATATTTCGGTATTTTTTTTATTCAAAACAGTCTAATAGTAATTAAAAATATCTGTTAGATTATCGGAATTATGGTTAAACTAAAATATAAAATCCAAAATAAAATAGTTAGTAATTTTTTTTTCATTCATATTCAAAAATTTATTCAAGCAATTTTGTAAATTAAAGAAATTTCAATGATGAATAACTGTCTTTTTTAGATCTAAACTGCAAATAAATGCGAATTAGAAAAATTGCTAGGAAGTGAGCCTTGTTTGAAAAATTCTAACGCAGGAAAAAAAAAAAAACACCGATGTTTCATGCTAAATTAATAATACCATATGTAATTAAAATGTTAAATATAATATTTTTGATGTTATTTTGACCTAAAATAACAAAATAATGAAAAAAAGCATTAAAAATATGTTGAATAAAAATTCTGCGTCAATGAGTTAACTTCTAAAGGAAGGATTTTGAAAAAGTAAGTTACCACTAATAATTGAGACAAATCTTCTTAAAGTCCAGTTTGCATTAACCATTAAATGCAACTACAAATACGCCTTGCCATTTTGGCTTTGCAGTCTATGACCAAAAAAAATCCAAGACAAAATGGCAACACGACGCAAGAACACATTGAAATAAGCTAAGTACTTAAGCGCACTGTGGGATAAACTCCGATTCATCAAGCATAGAATTATGCATGGATAATATCTTAATAAAATTTCTCCACTATCTTAATAAAATCAAAGACAAAATGGCTACACGGAGCGAGAACACATTAAAATAAGCCGAGTACTCTTATACACGGTAGAATAGATTACGATTTTTCAAGCGCAGAAATAGTAATCGAAAATAATTGAAAGTTGACTAGATAGAAATGGCATAAACAGTATGCAAAGACCAACTTTCATTTGACTCGGTAAGGCAATTCACATTAGTTTTGGAATTGTTTACAGCTTTCAATACATTAATTTTTGAATTCGGAATATCCAATTGCAGTGAAATGAAATTCAGCCTTGCAATGGAAGCCAAAGTTACTGTTGGCATGAAGGCCGGACACAAAAGAAGACACCTGCAAACGGTGTCTGGAGTTCTAATAAAGAGGCAACCACACCCAAATTCCATTAATTTAAGGATGAGGAGAACTGAAGCGACACCAACGATCTAAATTATTAAAATCATCTTCCACTCCAGGTTACGATGATTTGTTCATTACGGTGATATTTCATGGATCCAGCAGACAGGACAAACTAAAATTCTTAAATGACTTAATAATCCATAAATGAAATTAGAAAAAGAAATATATCAAAGACGATATTTTTAGTCAGAAAAAAAAATCAATTTCCATTTTTTTACAAATGAATTTAAGACGAACTATCTTGTAAACAAGTTCGATAAAATCTTTCACTACCAAAGTAGGCAAAGATTGGTATAATAACTTAATGTTTGTTAGCAATAAACCACTGCAAAACAGACAACTAGTTGGTAAAGTAGAGGTAAACACATTTGCTAGCAAAGTTCGTCAAAATACTAAATATACTGAATTTTTAAAAAAAATAACGCTGGATACTTTTATGTTCTAGATTCAGTTGTAAGTAAACCTTGTAAAATACTTGATAATGAAATACAAACACGTTAATTATACAAACCTTGCCATGTTTGATAAACAGCGGAAAACATGAAAAACGCCGGCATAAGATCATGGCATGGTGCAAACCTGACGTAGATAAAATTTTATGTACAAGCAACTTCAAAACTGAATAGAGATGGACTATAAGTAAGTAATAAGAATTTTCAGCAGAATATTCCGAAGAGAAAATTGTACACAATGGTCACAGTTACAGAAAACACAACGTTGGATACCTTCATTAAAAACATGGCTGCAAATCCAAAACTAATGCTTTAGAGTTAGACGGATATGGCACGAATTAGAATAATTAAACGGAAGCCAAAGTTATACGGCAAATTAGTGTCTTATGACCAATATATCGTTTTAAATTCCTTTTCAACAAGTCATGTATTTAGATTACATGTAAAACATTCTAATTAGAGGACCTAGAAAACATTGAATCAACTACTTAGGTTAGAAATCGCTGAGAAATGTTCGAAATTACGTGGAACTTTTCGACAAATTGGCCAAAATATCGTCAATTCCTTTTCAACACGTCATGTATTGAGATTACGATAAACGCATTTTAATTAGAGAACATAAACGTTTAAAATATGTGAAACATTACTACTAAAGAATATTAAAGATATAAAAATTATAACCATACCCTTCAGAACAGAAGATAAAATTGGGCCCCATACATAGGAGATAGGGAAAAGTTATGACCGTGCCTGTGGTCCGCAAAAATTTGAGAGAGAGTTTTTCCCGGATTTAAGAAACAGTTGTCCCAATGTTGTGAGGAGGAAAAGGAGAGTAAATAGAAGGGTGGAACGCCGACGAGGAATATTCTTTTTATCCTGGATACGGGAGAGGGGAAAGTGGTTTTTAGCCGGCTGTGAGAGAGAGTGGGCGAGGAGGGTAACGGCGTATTCTCACGTCATTTGTTAGAGAGCCATCATCTTTTTGACCACCCACCCCCGCACGAACACTTTTGCACTGGAAAGAGGAAAAAAACTCATTACCTTAGAACGTTGGGGCGTCAAACAGCAAACGATTTAGACGGATTAAATGCCGCTAACTGAGTTAGGGGGAGCTACGCTACATTTTTTTTCTGAAGTAAAAATCGATTTAACGTTGTTTTTTAATGCTTTTAAAATCTTGAGCGGTACTTTTAAAACGAAAATGAACACATTAAGAATTGAACAGGAGAGTAAATGAAAGGATATTTATTAATTGCAATTTGAAAGCCTTTCATTACAAATATAATCAACGGCTTTATTTCGAGGAGCCCCAAAGAGGTGGCTTTAAAAAACAAACTACTACAAATTTAAACAAATAAAGGACACATTAAATGGAGAAGACGACACATTATTTTAAAAACAAAAAGAATACATTAAGAACAGAATAAGAGATCAAATAAAAAAAATATTTATTATTTAAATTTTTTTAATTGTATCGACTAGTTAAGATATAGAAAAAAAAAATGACAAGATTTTCTTCAAAGTAATAATATTTTAAACCGTTTGATTATCGATATTAGATTTTAAAGTAATTGATGATTGATTCTATCAATTGAGTTGATTGTAGTAACTCGATTTTTTAGACAGCCAAATAATAAATAAACAAATATGTTGATTCAGGCGGACACACACGTTCCTGTTGTTCTAGCAGAAATCTTATTTTCAATTTAACAAGTGCGTAGTGTGTAATGTGCAGATTATTCAGGTAGTTTGCAGATAACTTTAAAAAATTTAAAAAATGAAACAAATTTTTTGGCACTTAAATTTAACGAGTGCCTAGTAGGTAATGTGCAGATTATTTAGGTAGTTTGCAGATAACTTTAGGAAATTTAAAAAATGAAACACATTTTTTGGCACTTTAACGGAATACCCTAGTTAATCTGCACATTAGCGAGATAATCTACAGCATAACTGATTCCAGCGTTAACATACATACACACATACCACTTTAGTTAAAACAGAAAAACAAGCATAAATAAAACAAACAAAAAAAGTTCGATTTTTAAAACATAAAGTGATTAAAAAATAACGATTAAACTGACTTGCCTGGATATAGTTAAAAAAAGAACAAATCTGCATTACAAAACTCATTGTTCAGTATAAAGCTTCAATTTGTCCCTTTTTCATAGGTCTTTCAGAACATAAGTTAACAAAGTTTTAAAATTTAATATGAGTAAAAACAATTTCGAATAATGTACGGTAAAAAATACGATTTTAGTCTATTCTTTATTAAATCTATTAAAATCCTCCCTCCCCCCAAATTTTTTTTTTCCAAATAATACTTTTGCGAATATTCGGCCAATCGAATAACATTCGGCGAAAGGGCCGAATATTCGTAACATCCCTAATATGCATTTATATATTATATAAATACAAGAAAACACTAAGAAAGTTAAGAAAAACAATAAGTTTCATTTATTGCGCTTAAGCTGCAAGTAAACAGCACTCATTAGATAAGTTCAAAATGAAGAATAAAACAAAGAAAAATTATAGACATATGAAAAAAAGGGGGTNATTGCACTATTATTTAAACAACTTTGTAGTCGTCGACCCATTTTTCTCCTATTTTTTCAATTATTTGAACAATTTTTCTCAAATTGCCATGTAAAACAATATTCTTTATAATGATTCAAAAAATTTTCATACCTTACAATTAAAACATTTTTCGGTCATTATGAAATAAAATAATAAAAAATAATAAATATTTACTTAAAAATATTTTCTGCACGGAATTATATTTGGACACACGAGTTTTATAATTGTGCTCAAAAACTTTTCAAATAGGCGTAAAAAGTTTTGGACATATAGCGAAATACGCAAACGGGTATCATTAAGGGGTCAAAACTTTGGACACCCCTCTCCTCACCAAACTATTGGGACCTTATTTCCCGGATCGCAACTACCCCCTATATTGTGGGGGTCAAAAATCCAAATCCGTAGAAAAGAAAGGTTTGTTTATTCAGAGAAAGTACGCTTTTGTGTCTGACTAAAATATTGTCAGCACTTATTAATTAGCATATTCTGTACTTATTAATAGCACCCCCTCAAGTCATTCAAATTGAGGTCTAGGACGTGCAGATCCCACAATTATATCAAAAATTATTCAGGGTAGTGAGTTTTCTTTTTTTTTTTGCTCACATGTACC